GCTCTGTCCTCCGCGGCGGGGACGGAGGCCCTGGTCCTGCCCCTGGGGGCACCTGCCGGGGGACAGGCTTCCCAGGGCCTTCTCAGGCGTGTGGGCTGGACGGGGCCCAGCGCCTGCCAGCCTGGCGGGAAGCAGGACTAGCGCGATGAGGGGCTTGCACACGTTGACGGAGGGCGCGTTTCACGTGCTGGGAGCCGCTTAGGGACCCTCGGTCGGCCAGCACATGGCCCATTGACTGGAGCCCCAAAGTTCACGTGGCCTGTCCATGGCCACCGAGCTGTTTCCGGAACTTCTGACTGGGAAGAGAGGCCCCACTTCCAGCGCCTGGAAACCTGTTTCCCAAAGACTTTTCAGGATGTAGTTTAAGAAACTGTTGAAATGCAAATTGTCAGGCCTTTTTCAGCTCTTTTGGTTAAAGATTTAAAAAAACAAATCCTAGACGTTCTGAACAACATTAGTTCCACTTTATGGACTGGTTACTGCAGGCTAAGCATGACTTTAGGAATTTCCACCCGTTGCTCACATCGTTGTCCCTTTGAGTGACTATGTTCCACCAAGGAGAGGCATTAGGCTCTGAGAGGTTAGGACACTTGCCCCAGGATCGAGGGCAGCAGAGACCTGGAGAGTAGACGGCTCATGGGACTCCACGCTTGCGTTCTGCCACCGGCCCCACCTCCCGGTCCTCTCCTCATTGGAGCTGTCCTTTCTGGGAAGCAGGTGCCGGGCCCTCGGGTCCAGGCCCAGCGGCCACCGCAGCTCCCGCGGGAAGCCGCTCCCAGCACGCCCGGCCCAAGCAGCAATCCCGCTCGCTGACGTCAGAACTGCGCCTGTCCAGCGGTCCTGGGAGGTGGCAGAGGGCCTGTGGGTGAGTGTGGCCACGACCTCCTGGGGGGCATGAGCCCGTGATGGTGCGCAGCCAAGAGCCCGCAGCCCTCCGAGAATCTTACTGGGGATTTTACTTTCCATGAGCGGCAGGATATCCTGTTAAACCCCGTTGTTGGGGTTAAAGATGGCTTTCTTGTGACAAATCAGGACTTCTTCAGGTATTGATGAAGAAAGTGACTTCACAGATGGAAAAGCCCGTTAGGAGACATTTACTGTGTGTTCTTTCAGGGAACCCCGTGAGAAATACCCCTTCACTATGGCCAGCACGCTGTCCTCCCCGGAATACTGTGAAGACCCTGGGGTGGGCGCTGACCGTCCTCACCACCAGAAGCTCACCCTCTGAGCCTCTGGGCAGAGCCCTGGCTGTGTCACCAAAACTGGCCCATCTTTGGGAGATTTGGGAGGTGGCTGTGCGGGGGGCAGGAGGGTGTCTGGGGAGGTTGGGGAGGAGTAAATCAAGTGAGTGCAGGTTGATTTAACCCTATGTTCCCACATCACCAGCAGTGACTCACCCCTCATGTGTGTCTCCAGCATCCAGGCCCTGAGCTAGCCAGACGGAGGTCCCCTGGAGAGGCACCCCAATTCCCACTGGCCCTTGGCCAGGCCTCGTGCTGGCCTCCAGCCCCTGCTGGCTCCAGCTGTCTGGCCCCAGTCGTCTTGGAGCTGACGACCACGTGGGACTTCACTTACAGAGATCTGAACCCACCAGTGCAGAGGACGGATGCCGTCTTCCTCCATCTATTCTCCTCCAAATAAAGCAGCCCCGTGCTTTGTGGGGGAAGAATCAGATCACCGAAAGAAACAAGTTCAACAGAGGGGATCTGCACCACCAATGACAGAAGTCACGTTACAGGCACGTCCTGGGCCAGGAGACCATCTGGCTGCTCCAGCATCACCTTGGCCTCAGGTGACTGGAGTGAGGACCCGAGGTCATGCAGGCCATCCTGAGTGTTAGAAACGTTTTTCATTATTGGCTACAAGACAGGCCATGGACGCAGGTCTTTTAGAAACAGCTGCTTTGTCATGGGGCTAAAGTGCTACGTGAAGGCTCTGGCCTGGTCAGCCAGAGTATGGCCTTCCAGAATTCCCCATGAGCCGGCCCTGCCCCACCTGACCTGGAATCCGGGGGGACCTAGGCCCTGGGTCCAGATGCCTACAAACATCCTGTCCTGTCTGGAAGCCAGGAACGGGAGCCCTGCAGGGGCGTCGGCCCAGCCCAGAGAGCTGGAGGGGAGTGGGACCGGTGAGACCTCGGGGCTCAGGCTCCTGTGTGTCCACCTGTGTGTCCTGTGTCTGCACGTGGGAATCCCCGGGACCCTTGGAGGGCTCGGGTGGGGAGGACAGGCAGCAGGTGCGGCCCAGAGCCTTGGCCTTTCCTGATTCAAGGCAGCATCTCTGGAATTTCTCCTGCTCCCTGCGCTTTTCCATGGCCCCTTGTGCGTCATGTACATTTTGCTGAATTTTCACTGCTGCCTGGTGCAGCCACAAACACCGTTGCTGTTATTCTATTTTACTGTGGAAAAATGGGACCCAGAGACGTCGAGAGGCTTGGCAGGGGCGCAAGGACGGGGTTGGATGGGGCAGTGGTGCAGAAGGCTCAGCTTCCCCGCCTCCCGCCCGCCCCATGCCACACTGCTGAGCCCTCGGAAGACCGACCTTGCTGGCGTTAAGCACGGAGGGGATGACCTGCGGGCCAGGAAGGAAGCGGCCAGAGAGATGAATGGTGCTTCCTGACTCACCCCAAACTTGCAGAGCGCTCCGTCCCCAGCTCGGTGCTTGGAGACAGTGGCGACGGCTGTTGGAGTTTGTCCGGTTTTGGTTTTTGCTTTAGGGAAGGAAAGTGCCAAAAAAAGGGATTTGTACCAGGTGGCAGATTTGCAAGCAGGTGCCTTCAATCGTCCTCAGTGCTAGAGAGCGTGCGGGACTCAGGCCCCCTGCCTGGCAGAACTGAGCAGGAGTTGGACCCATCTCTGGGTTCGTTGTTGGCCCAGGACCTGGACATCGACACCCACTTCCACCAAGTCTGGCTCCGTGTTGGCCAGAGGCTTGGGACCCCTAAGCTGGGAGGTGGAGAGCCCCAGAGGCACCTGCGAGGCCTGGAGGCCTGGCCTACGGGGCTGATACCCCGAGAAACCCCAGCGAGGGCAAGAGGCCCAGGGCGCTGCTGCTGACTTCCCCTGGGTTTGGGGGCAGCACCCGTGACCCCCCGGGCTTTAGATCCCCTATCTGATGAGAGGCTGATGGTGAATGACAGTTTTGCAGCTTGTGGTTTGCAGAAGAGCCCATCCAGACCCTCTGGGAAGCCCTACTTGGAGGCAGTCCCCCTGGGGTGGGGACCCCTGCCTCAATCCTCCCACCTCCTCCCTCTGTCCTCCCTCTTCCCCGTCCCTCTCCCCTCCTGACCCCAGGGCCCCCACCCGCCCCGGGACAACTCCTCTCCAACACCTACTCTCTGGCAGGAGGAAAATAAACACAGACCCCCTGCCAGGAACTGACCACGTCCTCCCCAGATTCGTATGTTGAAATCTTACCCCCGGTGTGGTGGTGTTAGGAGGTGGGGCGGTGGGGAGGTAATTAGGTTTAGATGAGGTCATGAAGGTGGGACCCCCATGAAGCAGTTAGTGCCCTTAGAAGAAGAGAGAGTGCCCTCCCCGCCCCGTCCCCTTCTCTCTCTGCCCATGAGGTCTAGGAACCAGGAGGAGAGCTCTCACCAGGAACCGATTGGCCAGCACCTCCATCTTGGACTCCCAGCCTCCAGAACTGGGAGAAATACATTCCCGTTGGTTAAGCCGCCAGCCTGTTGTATATTGTTCTGGAAGCCTGAGCAGACACCACCCAAGGGAGAGAAGCAGAGGCTGCTGGCTCAGAGCTGGCTGGAGCACAGGCTCTGCGGCCGTCGTGCGTGCTCGGTGGGGACGCAGAGGCACGCATGGGGTGGGACAGCCTCACAGTGGAAAAAGGGGGTCGGGGCGCCCCGCCGGGGGCCGTGGGCACGGGGATGCTGGGACGGCTAACTGGAAGCAGGATCCTACAGGACTGGCTGGGGGAGTGGATCTGGCTTTCCCGTTGGCTCTCAGCTGGAGGCGGGCGCAACTGGCCCCTATCGATCAAATCTGGCCGTTTGGGGCTGATGGCTGCGTGTTGTGGGTCGGAATTCTGCATTTATATATGATCTGGACATTCCTGTCTGCATATCCAGTCTCTCACCAGGCTTCCCGGGCTCTCCTGTGATTATCTTAAGAGCTCACACGGTGTGCTAATGGAGGGGGCGCCAAGGGAGTCTCTGAAATGCCCCTCTAGTCTCTCTCTGACACTGGGGTTTCAACAGGGGCTTCCAGAAGGCAATCAGCCCATCACAAAATCATTCTGGGACTGCTAGGTCAGGCAGGAGAGGGAGGGGTGTGTTTTCAGGCCAGTGGGGAGAGAGCCCCCCACATGCACACCTCTGAGAATGTGGGAGCCCACGTCCTAGGAGATGCCAAAGAGGAATCCCCAACACATGGAGGTTTTTCTAGAGTTTTCTAGCGGGCCACGTTACAGTCTCAACTGAGAGCCAATTTTGTTCTTGGTGTTAGGGAATATCTCTGTCTTCAGCCTAAAACCCGAAAGACCCAACTCAAATTCATTTTCTCTGGTTGACTTGGGACTTGGATCTATTTGGTCGGTCCTATCCTTCTTGCTATCGATACCCTGCCGCCATGGATCTGGTTCTTACTTGCTGCACACCAGGAGGCTCTTGGGGATGTGCGTCTTGTCTTGGGTAGGGCTCAATAAGCACTTTAAAAGACGTCAAGCTTTGCACACTTTCTAAGGAGGGGTGGTGGAGGATAAGCAAGAAAAGAGCTATCCGAGTGGTAAAATAATGTTTTATTCCGTGGATGAACAAACACTACCATGCCACATTCTCACGTTCCCCCTGCCAGATCTCGCGGCCAAAGCTGGCTTCCCCTGTCAGGCCTCGCTGGCTTTGCAGTGGGTCAAGCCCACGGACAAAGCGAAAACACGGTCACGTGGCATTCAGAGTGGGTCCTGCCGCTCACGTGCTGGTCCTTTTCACACGCAGTGACGTCTCGCCTGAACAAATCCGTGATGGAGACCTTCCAACTGCGCCAACCGCAACTGACATCCAGAACTCACGTGGATGCAACCCAAACCCCCAAATGCCAAAAAGCTACATGGACAAATCTTCTCTGCTGACGGGACGTCGAGGACCCCCCGGCAGGACCGGAAGCTGGAGACGTCAGTACTGATATTCAGGTTGTCGACAAGCTCCAAAGGAAACAGCAGTGACGGATGGGTTTCTCCCTCGCACTTGTGGGGAGTGCAGGTCAGCCACCGAGTGTCGGCATGCAGGCGACACGGTGAGAGCCGACGGGGGCAGCGCCGATCCGGTCCCTATGCACAACAAAACGGAATATACACCGGGGCGCCAGCTGCACATCCGGTCAGGGGACCTCCTTCACGTTGACAGGCTGCCTGCACGCGGTGCTGAGGGCACTGAGCCGTCCCCAGGGCGGGAGGCGGCCGCACACACCCACGCGTCCCCGCAGGACGCCTGTCCCCTGCACACGCGACAGACTCGGGGGCGGAGTCGACCCTTTGTCTTTTCTTGCTTTTTTTTTAACCAAATGCCATCTGAAAAGCCTCAACAACTTATCAAGGGGGAAAAGGATGGGCTTCAAGACAAACGGAGATCGTGTGAATCTAAGCCAAATCCTAATGCAGCTTTGGGGGAAAGAAGTTTTATTGATGACTTTTTTTTAGTGAATGGTATTGGATGTCTTCTCCCCCCCAGTTTTTTGAAATTTCTCCACGAAGTCTCACGACAATCTTGAGGAGAGAGCAGTTAGTTATTTCTGATCTGTTTCTTTATCAAACGAGTGCAAAGCCTACACATTGACCGAACACAAAGCAAAACAAAGCCAAAAAAAAGAAAGAAAGAAAGAAAGAAAGGAGAGAGAAAGCAAGAAAGCAAGAAAGCAAGCAAGCACAGCAAAACCACCCCATGACCGGAGACAGTGTCAGGTAAAAACCATAGAAAAATACGAATTAATTCCATAAGGTTAACCATTAGCATTAGCTACAGTAATACTCTGTACAGCCCCTAAAATGCCGAATCTCCTAGTTACAGAGAGGAGCAAGCCAATCTACGGACGAGTCCTGTTAAAACAATTGTGCTATAGTGGTCTCCACGGCGCGGTCATGGCGGACGGACGGACGGACGGACGGACTGGCGAGGGTGCGCCTGAGCGCTGCTGCGCGTGGCGTGGGTACGAGGGCCGGGCTCTTCACGGCAGCCTCTGCTCTGTTCCTCGGGGAGGGGCCGGGAGGAGGCGAGGCCGCGGCGGCTCCAGGTGCCTGGGAGCCCTGGTGAGCGATGACGCGTCTCGGCCTGGGAAGGAGCCGGCTTCCGAAGCGAACCCGCCTTCGGGACGCAAGACACACATGCTATGGGAAGTCACGCTTCTCGCCCCCGCCCCCGCCTCTGCGGGGGAGGGAGGAGGGTCCCAGCTGCACACTGTTCTAGGAGGGCCCCCCTCCTCCGCCGGGGCGCTCAGGGCTGGCTCCGGCTCAGTCCTCCTCCTCCTCCTCTCTCGCTGTGGCCGTGGGCAGCTTGTCCTGAATGCGGAAGCATTCCACGAAGAAGCTGATGATGGATCGGAACAGGTGCTGGTGGAGGGAAGCGCTGTGAAAGTAATGGCCTTCGTCTGGGTAGATCTGCAGGGAGGGCAGGGAGACGTTACTCGCCAGCAGCGGCCCCCGGGGGCCTAGGGACCCTCGTGGGACTCTAACCCAGCACAGCCGGGACACCACGCACCCACGGCTCCATTTCAGCCTGCAAAACGGATTTCCTAAACCGCTCCAGGGCAGGCGTCAGCCCCGCCTTTGCTGGGAGGCTCTGCCGGGCACGGTGGGCTCGCGGGGCATCGGCTGGCTAAACGAGATCACGTTCTGTTCAACAGACTCTGTACAGAGGCTCCGGCCCAGGTCTCCCGGGACCAGGACCCAAAGACATGGGAAGAATTCTGCACTGTCCCCACAACCCTGGCCGGCATTTGCCTCACCCCGGGACCGTGGGCAGGTAACTTCACCGAGCCTCAGTTTCCAGTTGTGCCAAGTGGACATGAGCATCATAATAGAACCCAGCTCATAAAGCTCTGTGAGGATTCAGTGATAGACTCCCTGTGAAGTGGTTAGAGTCAGACCACGACACAGGGACTGAGTGTAGTGACGGCCCCCGTCCCCTAGGCGTGAGGCACCATTTTCACACAACAGAACCTGTTTGGGCAGGCACTCAAGGCCAAGTCTAAAGGACCTGGAAGCCCACGTTGTTTCCATGATGCCAGGCTGCCCCCAGCATCTGGAATCCCGTCTTCCTCTATGTCTTTGGAGGATGGTGTTCACCTTTATTTTAGAGTATTTATTAATGACGGAATGGAGCTGTTATATAGACATTAAAATGTCTATAGTCCAAAAGGACACGAGGTAGGATGCACGCCTCTCCCTCTCTAGGTCCCCAGTCCCTATGCCCTTCCCTGGAGTTGATCACTGTCACAAATTCACTGAGTATCTGTGCAGACATTTGCTGTGCCTGGAGGCATGGCACTGGGCTGGGGTCCCTTTACTGTCTCGAGTGTGGTCTACAGTGCATCTTGCTCAAAATCTTGCTGGTTTAGCTTGGTCTACACCTGGGGGAGTGATCCACATTAGCACGTGGAGATTTACCTTTTAACCTGCCACGGCTGCATTATGTGTCTAGAATGTATTTAACCACGGCAGCTATCAGCTTTACTACGATCTGAACACTTTCAGAAGCAAGCTCGAAGGTAACATTAACCAAGTTCTTCCTTCCCCATTCATCAACACTCAGGCCAAATCCCCGCCCTGCAGGAAGCTCCCCTGACTGGCCCAGCCCACGTTTGACCCTCCAAGATGGCGACGCGGCAAGGCCAGGAGCTCAGGACAGAAGGCAGGCAGCAGTCCGTGCCAGGGCTAGCGCTGAGGGACAGGTTCCCAGTGGAGGAAATCTCCCATTTATGTCTAGACCTGAAAGACCATCGGGGTCATGCGTGTCTTGCCAAAGGAACCCATGGTCAGGAAGGAAACGGAAGATGTTTCTAGAAGCGAAACTGTGCATTGCTGGAAGGAGCCCAGACTTGAGCTGCTTAGTACTTGATGCCCGTGAAAACAAGGCTGTGAGTTTGTTTCGTGGGAAGGGTAGTCCTCTAACTGATGCTCAGCCACAGATGATTCTGGAACGTTCTGCCAGAATTTAGTGAATGTGGGGTGCTGTCCAGAGGGAGGCTAGTGGAGAAGGCTCAGGACCTGCACATGTAAAGCCCCCCAAATCCCCCAGAATGCTGCTCTCATCAACACTGGGACAACGGCCCCATCCTCACCCGCAGGGACGCCACCAGCCTCACTGCGGAGGAGCGGTGCCTGTCTTGGCCTTGCTCACCGCCCGGAGGCGGGGGGCGGTGGAGACCTAAAGGGGTTTGCGCACAGCTCGAGTGCAGAACCGTGCGATCATCGTCAATTACTAGAGAAAATAAGCATGTGCCAATTCGTCTGGCCCGATGCGCCCCTGCCCGCCTCTGACAACCGTAACACAGGTGCGTCTGCAGAAATGGGATGAACTGAATACCAATCAGTTCTTTTTCCACGGAAAGGATGTCTCTCTCCAAGTGTGGAGCAGAGACGTGCAAATACTGTACCTGTAAACTGTAATTAGCCTTCCCCTTAATTAGTTGTGTAATGAGTTCTGCCGTGTGCTGGAAATGGATTTTTTCTGTTAAAAAAAAGAGGAAAGGACCGGTTAAACCCCTAACACCATCAGGGCGATGCTGCGAAGTGACATCCTTGGTCCTTACCGTCCGCGGTTGCGTGAATGATCAGAAACTGCTGTTCTTCCAGCGCCGACACGCGGTGTGCCACCTTGGTCATCTGCACATGCGGGGGCAAGAGGACAGAGTTGGTGGGCCTCTAGCCGCTAGCGAGGGGTTCGTACTGAACCCGACTGAGAAGGTAGTGGGGGTCCTGGGGCCAGTCTCGGGAGGATGGGGTGGTGGTGGGCTTTCCGTGTGAGGGAAGCACACAGCGCATCTCTGCTGCCCTGCCGGGGTGCCCCCGAGGAGGAGGAATATCTCAGCTGCCCTGCCGGGGTGCCCCCGAGGAGGAGGAAGGGGTGGAAGAGAAGGGAGCACAGGAGCTCTTTCACCCGCGGCCGGTGGCCTCAGGGGGCTCTCATTCCAGCCGGTGCCACTAGGAGAGGACACCTGGCCCCACGATCCCGCGGTCCGAGCACGGATTCCGGCTCCGAAGCCAGTCCCCCGCCCCCCGCAGCAGAAGTGTGGCCTCATTCTGTGGCCAGCCAAGAAACACCCCATGTGACACCCACACTGAGTCAGTTCAGTGGCTATGACGGAGCAGGTGACATCAGAGGACTTTCTGTCGCCCAATCAATGGCTTATTTTCCCAAAGTGGAACCAGCCTTGGGGAAGGGGACCGGCAGTCATCAGTGCCCAACGACTGTGGATTCTGGGACAGACCCTCCATCCATCCAAGGACTTCCCTAACTCCCCTCCATGCCCCTCGGGTGCCAGAGAGGGAAACCGGACGGGCCCGGGAGAGGCCCTGGTCCCCTCGGTTCACAGGCTGGAGGAGGGTCTTCTCAGAGTGAGTTTGGTGGGGGAGGCGGAGAGCACAGTGGGCCCAGGGAGGGAGTGTGGGTCCCAGAGTTGGGCCAAGGCCAGAGGGGCGGGACCTATCTCACTCAATTCCCCATTCCGCCAGGAGGCGGGGGTGCCCACACCTACCTCATATGCTCTGTTGTCAAGTCCGTGGAGGCCCAAGTACCTCTCAGAAAACGCAGACGCTGGACACAAGCAGAGGAAGGCAGGGTTACCTGAGGCGAGTGGGTGCAGAGCCCCCAGACGTGGGGGGCGCCCTTGGTATGGGGCTGGGGGTGGGGCTGTGCACTCATCTGCAGGGCAAACGTTTGTTTCTAAAACACCCCTCAACCTGCAGGTCTTTGCCCAGGTAATCAGCACCGTAGTGACATTCAAATATGCTACAGCAAGTGGCTGGGTTTTAAGCAATATAGCGAACCTTAATCAAGTGAAACAGAGCATCTGAATCCTCAGTAAACAGGATGACAGCCCCCACCCCCAACTTCGTTCCAACATATAGGAAGGGCAACAAATCCCAAAGAGCAGATTTTCATCAGGATTTGCTTTTTTTTTTTTTCTTTTTTAAAGGCTAGGCATGTCCTGTTCCAGCCAAAACCCTGGCTCCGGGTCCAGGTTCTGGGTGAGGAGCTGGTGTCTACCCTGTCAGGAAAGTCAGGATGGAAGGAGCTCCAAAGGCTTCTGCAAGTTGCAGGGACATCCTTAATTAAGGGGAAGAGACAGTGGAGGATTTCCCTGTCTGGGGCACTGTGACCAGCCAAGGTGTAGGATGGTACATTTACGTGCATTCAAATCAGGCAAATTTGAAATAGCATGATTAAAAAAATTAAAGGAGTCTCACTGAATTTAAAAAAGATGAAATATGCTACATGTCTCCCCATGGGAAAATTAATTTTAAGTCATTAAAATGTTGAATGAGGAGCGTTCTTATAGGACTGTGAGGTGAAGTTTGCATTAGAGCACTTCGGAAGCCTCAGTGCATCTTTTGTGAGCACTCTGGCTACAGGAGCCAGGGGCTGAGGGCTGCTGGACCCTGTGAGGCCCGGGCTGCTGAGCTGGGGCAGCGGGGCGGGTGCGGCCAGGTACTCGTAGGCTTGGCCGACCATGGACAAGAAGCCCTCTCCATTTCTGATCCCATTACCCAGTGCTGCTTTGTGCAGCGTAGCTGGGGTTAATAGCCTGGCCTCCCAGGGCCTCCCAGCCTCGGCCCAAAAGCGAGTTCTCAAAGTCCACAAGGAATACCTCGCCACACATTTAAAAAAAAAAAAGCACGAATGTCACAAAACCATTCACACTGAGAGAAAAGGGGCCAGCTGACCGGGACAACGTAGGGAGCTTGGAATCCCAAAACTGTGACCAAAGAGCCAGGGCGGTGCCTGACAAAGGTCTGGTTCCCACACCTGGGAGGCCTGCCCCCCGACTGGTCCCCACGGCCAGCCATCCTGATGCCCCGTCCCAGGCCTGAGTCCTGCCCGTTAGACGGGCAAGGTGCTGGCCAGGTGCTCCCTGCCCCACCAGGAGGAGGGCGGGTGGAGGCAGAGCAGAGCTCAGCTGCCAGGTCTGCACCTGAACGCCACCAAGCAGCAGCCCCTTCAGCCCCTAAGCCCTCATCACGGAATCCCTGCCCGAACACCCCCAGGCCCCGGATCCAGAGCCCGGGCAGCGCCCCTGCCCAGATTCTGGGGGCAGGGGGAACGCGGCCCCAGCGGGACCGCAGCCGGCCCCTTCCTGTCTGCATGCACGCGAGGCTCCTCCGTGGCCGCTACGGCAGGGGGCCCCGAGGCTTCTCTCCAGGTTCCTCGTTAGCTGCACGGCCCCTGTGGCTTCCCCTCCACGGGGGGTGTGCGGAGCGGGGGGTGGCAGGCGGGAGCGCGGTGAGAAGGGAGGCACGGGGCCAGGTCTGCGGCGTCAAGACCGTTACCGTAGAGCTTGAAGTCCGTGATTGGAGAGAGAGCAGAGCCACAGGTGAAAACCTGAGCCTGATTTTCCCCCTTTGCCGGGAGGATGTAAGTGCTCAGGTACCCGCCATAATCCTGGGAGAGAGAGAAAGGGGGTGAGTAGGCGGAGTGTCAGTGATGCCCTCAGGAAAACAGCCTCAGGGGTAAGATCAGTGACTCCACAACCATCTTCACAAAGTTTCTGTTAAAAAGTAAACAAGATGAAAGGCAAATCACCATCCCAACTAGCTACATGGGACGCACGCCTCCTCTCTTGGGGCCTAGTGTCGGGCGATGTGCAGAGGATGCGTGAGGGCAGCCGTGGCCGTGGGCTAGGATGTGCTGGGTGCATGTCGGGGTGTCATCAAGCCCCTTCCAAGTCAGCCTTTCCCTGCAGCGCGTTTGCTGCCTTCCCATCTCCAGCCAAGCCAAGCCACTTAAGGTGGTCTCGAGGGAGGGCCACCAAGGAACCTGTATCAGAGGGCTCAGGTACCGGTCGGCCAGGAAGTCTGGCTCAGGGCCTGCGGAGACAGGCGTCCATGTGGGCGCTGGACATGTGGCAGTTCCTTCAAGTCCTATAGTGCCCTTACCTTGGGGCTGACACGCAAGACCCCTACTTCAACCAGGGCCTTCCAGAGAGAGTACACGTGACACATTACCTACCACGGGCACCTTCGAAGCTGCTTGGCTCCGATGTGCTCGGTCTCCCGAAAGCACCGAAGGGGACAGGACACAGATGGGAAACTGCGATGAGCAAACGTGGGAAGGGGCAGGAGCGAAGCCTCAAGGGAACCAGGTATGTTCTCCTGGGGGCTTGGGGGCTGTTAAAGATGTTGTGTGTGTGCTGGGTGTGTGTGTGCATGTGTGTATGGGAGTGTGTGTGCTGGGGTGTGTGTGTGAATGGGAGTGTGTGTGCATGTGCTGGGGTGTATGTGCGTGCATGTGTGTGCTGGGGTGGGAGGGTCGAGTGTGGAAAGCCATACACCTGATGGAGACTGTGTGTGCAGCCCAGGCCATGCCAACCTCACTGTGGAATGAATCGTTTAGGACCTACATGTTAGTTACATGATCATTTAATACCGTTCCTTCCATAGAACATGGATAGCTTGTCTTAATGACAATAAAAGCGTCATTTTGGTTTCTAGTTGATAACTGTCATTGTCAATGGAATCGGTAAGTCCTCACACGTCATCCGCCACTTGTTTCCGAAAAAGCGTGGACTGACAACACCAAACGGTGGTGAGGATGGGGAGCAACAGGACCCGTCCGTCACTCACTGCTGGTGGGGATGCCAAATGGGGCAGCCACTTTAGAAGACGGTGTGGCGATTTCCTACAAAATGAAACATACTCTTTACCATATGATCCAGCAATCCACCCTCCTGGGTATTTACTCAAAGGAGTTGAAAACTTATATGCACACAAAAACCTGTACATGGAGGATCATATGAGCTGTATTTGTAAGTGTCCAAACTTGGAAGCAGGTGAGTGTACATGTAAGCGGTGTCCTTGGCATATTATTCAGTGCTGAGCAGTAATGAGCTCTCGAGCCATGAAAAGAACCCTGAATGCATATTACTTGGTGAAAGCAGCCGGTCTGAGAAGGCTACGTGTGTGCTTGAGGGGGAGTGAGCCCTGACCAGAGACGGGCCCAGGCCAAGGGTCCCTGCCTTGGCCCGGCAGTCCACCCTTCCCATGTGGGTACAGATGGGTGATAAACACTGACACCCAAAGTTACACTTACGAATGATCACATTGGCTCTGAGCCCCTCACGGGCAGCGAGTGGGTTTCTACCACCATGGACTGGAGCCTCTAGGATTCTGCGCCCACTCTCTGGTCTGTCCCTCAGCCTCGGAAAGAAGCCCTCCCCTCCACCGCCTCAACTCGGGAGGTGCCAAGGGGACTGTGGGAGGGCTCCAGGAGGCTTTCTGGGATCACTACGTCTCAAATGTACACTGCCCTCCGAGAACGCTGCACGTGGAGGTTCCAGAGGCGATGACATAAGAGATAGTCTTAAGATTACCTGTTCAAGCCTCCACCTGCCGTGAGGTCCCTGCGAGGTGCCTCTGGACGGCCTGTGCTCTGATCGTTCTCTCGGGAGGGAGACGGATCTGTGTCCATCCATCTGTGCCCCACTCCCTTGAGATCAAGAGGCCATGGATCCAGGCTGTCTAAGAATGGGGGTGGGGGGTAGGTGGCCCCACGGACCTGACCCACAGCCCTGGGCCTCCACCACATGAGCTACAGCCCATGGACATGGGGACGCCTTTGGAGAGGGAACAGCCTCCTCCCCTCCTTCCATGTCGGCAAACCTGGTAAATTAACATGGCCACTGCACGTGGAGATACACAGGAATCAAGACCCTGCCTACCCTTGTTTCCTGGGGTACCACACCAGGCACTATGGCTTCCTTAAGAAAAGGAATTAGGAACCTAATAAAGTGTTCTCACAGGATCTGGCTTCTCTCTCTTTCCTTCCACATAATGTAGGAAGACACTTTGATACATGAGCTGGTCAAATGAGGGCCCCCCTCGCTGGAATCACTCGGCGTCCACCCTCTCGTTTTTAATCAAGTCATTGCTCTCACAGTGTCAGACCAGAGACATTCTGAACAAATCCGATCGGGGCTGGGTGATGGGCCGGGCAGTGCCCTCGGACAGGGGCACGGGGTGCTCCGACAAAGCTCGGCGCAGGCTCACCTTCCCAAACACGGCCACACGTGCCTGGTCAATGTATTGCTCCTTCAGCATCATCCTGCAAGGCCAAAGAAGAGAGGGGCGAGTGAGTGAACACCATGGTTGCACTGTGGCCCAGAGCCGAGCTTCTGGCCATTCCAAGCACGAAAACCTCCACTTGAAGGAAATGCTGGAATTCGAATGTCATTGTTTATTGCTTTTCTTTATTTAGTGCATGGGCAGTATGTCCATGTTGAAAGCCTCAAAGTACCCTTGCAAGAACTGTCCGGTCTGTCAAACTTGCCGACCGAAAGCCAGGAATGCAAAGTAGTCGAGGCCGTTCTGGAGACCAGGCACCGCGGGGTCCCTGTCCTCTGCTACAATCTGCCCCTCACTTGGACCGTGTGACCCCCAACCACCGCAGACTCTGGGAGTGTCCTCCGGGATCAGCCTGGAGAACAGACCCTGGCTCTGTGCTGAGGGGCTTGGAGTCAGGCGCTGGGCACTCACCACACCTGCAAGTGTCCTTTGTCCCCAACTCCTGGCTGGGGGCCCCTGCCTTGTGCTTCCTGCCTTGGACGCGAGCAGCTTGATGCCCCTGCTGGCGCTGCCCGGGTCCCGCCTTGCCCTTGCCAACCTCTTACCACTTTCCCCTAGCATCCCCTGTTTACCCACAACATGACAGGCATCTTTCTGGTTTCTGGACCCTAATTCAGCAGCGGGAGTCCTGCCACCTGCTGGCAGATGACCGGCTGCTTCCTGGGTCTCAGTGAGTTGCTTCCTTCCACGTGTACATACATGCCCCCCGCCGCCCCCACCAGAGCCCCTCCCTGCACAGCCCTGTTCCTCCTGTTTCTGTCTACTTCTTGGTGATTATTCCCTTGCTTCTGTTTTCTGGGTTGTGCTCGCTGGCTGGAGCCACCCCATCACTGATAACTGCCCTTCTCAGCCGGAACAGAGTGTAACACTCTGGGTACCAAGCCCTCAGAGCCAGCTCTTTGAGGACCAGCCCTCCTCCCCAGCCTGGAGCAACACCGTCCCCAACTTTCCCAATGGAGGAAAGTCATGAAGGAACATCCGAAGTCGGGCCTAGAGACCACCAGCCCCACAGAAGCAGGAAAGAGAAGGTTGGAATCGACAGATTATGAGAATGTTTCAGCATTTGAACAGGACTACTAATAGGAGTGTGAGGAGGATTCAGGAACAAGTGGGAGATACTATGAATAGGTCCAGAGAAAGATTCTCAAGTGAAAGACAAAGCAACACTTCCCGAACTAAAAGATGCAGACGAAGGTGGGGCACGGAGTGGGCGACGTGCTCCGTAGTGAGCAGTGTCTATCATGGTCCTGCACCCCCAAATACTGATCTAACGAGACATGATGGGGGGCTGCAGAATTGCTAAATCCTCACCTGCCACCACATCACGAGATGGGAGCTCATGCAGTAATGAGAACTGTGTTCAGGAACACGGACGGTTGGGAGTGCTTGCCTCTGCCAAACAGGCCTGGGGGAGGGGGCAGGTAGGGCAAGGGAATCTGTTGTTGATTTAGACAGTGGTTATGGGTTAGCCTCCGAAAATTACAGTCAGATCCTAACCCCTAAAACCTCAGAGTGTGACCGTATTTGGAAATAAGGTCATCAGATGTAGGTAGTTAAGACGAGGTTAGACTTAATGCTGTTAATCCCGTATGACTGGTGTCCTTAGAAGAGGAGAGACCCAGAGACCCAGGAGGAGCGCCATGTTAAGAAGGAAGATCACAGTCCCGTGTCTGCAAAGCCAAGGGACACAAGGGTTGTTGGCACCACCAGAAGCTAGAAGAGGCGGGGAAGGTACATCCCCGACAGATTTCGGAGGGAGCGAGGCCCTGCCCGTGCCTCACCTTTGCTGTGCTAGCTCTAGGAAACTCACGGAGCACTGTCATACATTTGCTTTTTAAAAACGTTGTGCAGGTGTTATAGGATAACCTGGCTGGCTTTGAATCACATCTGCCAGGCTTGGGATATGGAAGGGTACTCACATGTACACACACACCCTGTCCTGGGCTACGTACAGAGCTTCGTGGGCATGTCCACATATCTGGAAGGAGTGCAGACCTTTCTCCAAGTTCCTCCACTTTCTCCTCGTGACCCAAATCCCTGATACGCAGAAGCGCTTTTGGGAACATCTGTTGAAATGGTCTGGCTCAGCCAGCTGTTTTCACAACTGGTCCACCTGGTCCTATGAGGATTCTGCCCCGGGGCCAGACATCTGGATTACATTTGCTGGGATCCATGTAGCAGTCTGTGGGGACCACGGAGAGTGGAGTGAGCCATGTGCAGCATTAAGGGCTCCATTCCAACCTGTAAAATACCTTGAATTTCCATTCTCAGCCCTCCTTCCAAGTCCGCAGGCAGCCTTGGGTCTTTGGCAACCCCTTCATCTAATTACCTAGTGACTCACTTCCTTATCTAAATGCCAGAAATCTTGATAATGACCCTCATTTATAAAGTACTCTGGAATCTTCCAAGGGTGGCTGTTTTTTCTAACATCAAATATTTTTGTTATCTTGTACCTGTATTTTCACCAACGAACCCAGCAATTCCCATGTGATGATTTTTCTTCTGGTCAACAGTGGAATCCCAAGATCAGGGAGAGCCCAATTTCATACGCAGGGAGCACTTTTTATTCCTGGGGTGGTCTGAGGCCTCGCAAGAGCGGAAGCAGAATCCATCAGGTGTCTTTCCTTACAGAGCATGTCCTGAGTTCGTTTCCACGCTGGTCTGCAGAGGCCCCGGCGGGACAGGGCTCCGGGCCTCTAGAAGCTGGAGCCTGGAAGCTGGGGGAGGCGGGCTGACACGGTGACGTGGGGGCAGCACTGATGATGTGGCATGATGGGATGCGTGCCCGCTGACTGGTGCGGTCCCTGCTGAGGCAGCCTTGGAGAAGCCGGGAGCTGGTCAGAGTGGGTGGGACAGGAGGTCAAGAGAACACCTCACGGGTGGCCGCGCAGGGTCCTGGGCGAGCAGGGCTGTTTGTGGGGCTGCGTGGAACTTCAGGCGGGGGGACAGGGTGCGAGTTTGCACACTGTGTGCCCTCCCGTCTCCCTTCAGACAACCTGCCCTGAGGGGGCTGATGACCCCCAGTGGGCACATCCTCTGACCCTCCACAGTGTCCATGCCATCCAAGCGGTGCTCCCAGCCACTGAGCACAGCAGGGCCCTACAGCTAGGCCTCGGCTGCCTGGCAGGGGGTCCTCCAGTGGCTCTCTCAGCAATGGGCTCCCCGTCAGGAGACCCCCTTCCCACCTGGTCCTCCATTCCTGCCCTGGTGTCAGACTCCACTGCAGCCTGGTGGCACCCTTGCCCTGGCACCCTTCACAGACAGCCCCTGCCGAAATCTCCCGCTAAGTCCACCCAGGCACCGTTCTCGGGGACCCTAGCTTCCAGAGGTGCCACGGCACCCTCCGAACGGAGGGAGCCCACAGCCAGAGGCTTGATTTGGCAAGGAAGAGGAGCCGACGAGGGTGGGGGAAGAAATTTGGCCAGTGCCTTTGTCCCACTCTGTGCCATGGGGCTACACACCGCCGTGAGGGGCTGAGCTTCGCCCAGCTTGCCCCTCGGCCAGCTCCGGCTCCACGTTCATCCACTTACCCAGTCTGGGGGACTCTGCCCCCAAAATGCCTCCCAGGCGCCCTCCACCTCCCCGCATGCTCCCACTCCTGGAGGCCGTGCTCCCGCCCAGTTGGTCGGGACTGTGCCCCTCTTCTGGCAGGTCCAGCCTGGACCCTCTCTGGACTGCAGCTTCCCCACCTATGGCCTGAGGCAGTCGTCCCACCTGCTGGACGGTTTCTGGTAGTCATGAGGCCACAGCCCCGTAGCCCCCGGGGCCAGGACCATTTTCCTCCATGTCCCCACCCTCTTCCTTCTTGGTCCTCGTGTGGGCTGCCTCCTCCTGCTTCCCCTCCACTCACTGTCCACGGGGCTCCCCTGTGCTCAGTGGCTCCGAGGATGAGCAGTATGAACAGTGACAGTGGCTCCCACATCCTCGGCTTCTGGTGGGTTCGGCCAGTGGGGAGTCCCGGCGGGAGGGAGGAGCTGTCGGGGCACTGGTCCTGGCTCCCTCCCTGCACAGCCCCTGTCAGGTGCTCCCTCTCCCTGGCCCAGGTCCTCTCCTGGGTCCGTGGTGGCTCCTGCTTTTGTGTGGCTAGCCCTAGGGCACTGCACCATTCCCTGGTCTCCCTCACCCTGCCCATGCCTCTGCAAACATGCACTTTTATTCATCTCACCTCAAACTACTCAGTTTGAGGGCCAGAACGCTGACCCACAGAATTTGCTACATCGCTACCAGAATTACAGTTCTGAAAAATAAAGTTCACCTTGCCACCTCCTTGCTTAAAAACCTCCTGCAGAACTCTGCTGCTTACAGGGCACGAAGCAACTCCTTAGCATGCTGTGGGCGGTGTCTCACAATCTAGCCCTGTCCTACCTCCCCATGCATCCTGTCCCCTCCACTGCCCACCCCACCTCCCCATGCACCTGCCCCTCCACTGCCCACCCCACTTGTCCCCATGCACCTGCCCCTCCATTGCCCACCCCACCTCCCCATGCACCTGCCCCTCCACTGCCCACCCCACCTCCCCATGCACCTGCCCCTCCACTGCCCACCCCACCTCCCCATGCACCTGCCCCTCCACTGCTCACCCTACCTCCCCATGCAGCTGCCCTCTCCATGGGCCACTCACACTGTGGTCCTCTGGTGCTCAGTGTGCCCTGAACAGTGGTGACTTTGCATGACCTTGAGCCTTTGCTCACGGTATTTTCTCTGCTTGGAATGTGTATCTCCTGTTTTCTGCCTGACAGATCCCTATTTATCCTCTGAGGTCTTGCCCAAAAGCCACCTCCTCCCAGAAGCACTTCAGGCAGGGCTGTTTGCTTCTGCAGCTTATGCTCCAAGTGAGTGTGGCTCCACCCTCTGCCCAAACCATCGGTTCACATAGCTGTCCTCTTCCCTTACACGGTCGCTGGGCCTGGGAGGGGATTTGCTCCCATCAGCTGCTGACCCAGTGGGCTCCAGGACAAAGGCACGAAGTGGAAGAAGACAGGAGAATCACAAAAGGTGCTGGGGAGTTTTGGGGCATTAGCAGGGTGGGCCAGCCTCATGGTTTCTTAAACTTCTGATAAAACAGGGCTATTTCTTTCTGAAATGAAAATACAGACCCAGACCCTAAATAAAGCTTTGTAGAGTTCTCTGTGGCTTGAAACATTTGGGCCTCAGCTTCCTGCGTGTCTTAAAATGGCTGTAAGGTTTTCGAGGGTTTATGTATTCTTGTGTTTATAAGCCTCAGTGGCCTAACAGTTGACACTATTTACTGTCTTTCCGGAACAGGTTCTGCCTTGTTTTTTGAACAGATGGCCGGATCAATTCCTTATTTTTAGAAAACACCATGAGTGTGGAAAAGCCTTTTGCTCTCTTGTTCCCATGCTCGCAGGGGAGCGGCTAGACGCAGCCAAGCGCCTGCAGGGGTGTGGGCTGTGGGTGTGCCTGAAGGACACTGTGTCCTTCCGCCCAGCGAGACACTCTGTGCCCCATGCTCCACAGGCACAGTCAGACCGGGATGGGCGAGGAAGGGCACCGAGGGAGGAAGGCTTTGCTGCCATCTCGCAGGGCAAGTTGACGAAGTCCCACCCCCATGTCCAAGTACAGGCGGGACCCTTCCTTAGCGAGCACTGCTGGCTGCTGACCTGGCTCCCACCTGGTCCTCCCCCTTCCCCACAGAACCCCACTTTTGCTCCCCTGTTCCCTGGTACAGGGGGGACCTCCTGGATCTCAAGGTGACAGCCCACACCTCTCTGGCCAGTCATGGGTTCTGGGTTTTGGACTGGTCAGGGGTATGTAAGGCGAGGGTTGGTGGGTGCTTGTGGGGAGGCTCCTCCCTTCCTTTCTGGAAGTTTCTGGAAGTGGCTCCCTCCTCAACCTGCCGGAGGTGAATGAAGAAGCATGGACTGAGGTGCTCCTGGCAGCCATCCTGTGAGCAGGAGGAGAATCAGCTCTGGATGAGTCCATTAAGGCTGGCTGAGCAGAGCGGTGGAGAGAGCCTGGCTTTTGGGTGGCACTGCTGGGTCTCTGGATCAATGAACCCTGAGGCCTCCCATCGCCCTGGACTTCCAGAGCCAATATGGTTCCTTATTTTAAAACATGTTTGACTTTGTCTATGTGTTACCTTCCAGGCAAAAGCATCCTAGCAGATGTAGCTTCTCAGGCCATCAGTCCTCAGAAGCCTCCCCTCCTCTGCATTTTCTGTCTGTAACGCTTACAGGGCCCTGGGCACATCGCCTTGTCTCTCCTCAACTAGCTCACAATGCCCTTGAGCAGAGAGGGCCATTCATTCACTCACTCACCATTTCATCCACTTCAAATTATTAACTAAGCACATATAGGTGCCACCAATCTTTTCAAAAACAAGGGAGAAACGTCCCAAGTCAGGAAAGGGAAACGTTTCAAACCTGCAAAGCACCGAGCCACGGTAAGAGGAGGGACGGGACACCACGCTTCCTCGCAGCCCTTCAGGCAACAGGTATTTATCATCCGCACACTGTGTTCCACCTTCTCGACCTGCCCAGGGCCAGCGTCCCGCACCCTTCTTCCCAGTGAAGATAACTGTCGTTACTAGAGTCCCCGTTCTGCGTGTTTCCCCAGCCTTTCCTGTCATTCCCTGGACACAAGTCTGCTGCTTCGGTTGAGCTGTTCCGCAGCAGCTCTGAGCGGCTAAGGCATGTTTGCGCTGCAGTCCACCATGCCGGTGGACCGTGAAAACTCTCCCTGCCCGCTGAGCGCGAAGGCCAGCTCAGCCTGGAACAGGCTCTTGATGTCTTTTTTTCCAGGGCGACAATAAAACTCCCATAATCTTGAGCATCTGTCCCTTGGTGCGCAGCCTCTTTCTGTTCTCCGTGGGTCTCTGACTCCGTGACGAATATGTGAAACAATGCTGAGACAAAAATGGGCCACTCTTTGGGGCAGAGCAGGGTTTTCTGACCGACCCCCTGGATGTCAGGGATCCTTTCCTCAGAAACGTGGTGTCCCATCACATGGCTCTGTCCCACTCGTATTGTCCCCCCGCCCCATGTCCTGTCTTCCCTCCCTCCCCGCTCTCTCCCTTGTGACGAGTGGGGAAGACGTGTGTGTGTGTGTGTGTGTGTGTGGATGCTGGCCCAGGTCTGTGACCAAACCACTGGGGAGCCAAGCAGCCCATGAGTTGGCGCCTTGTTTTTATCAACTAAACAGACAAGTTACCTGGCTCTGCGAAAACTAGCGTAAGAGTCTTTGGGAGAATGTTACTAGAAGCTTCCCTCGAAGCCCGCGTCGGAACTGGCCACGGACTTTTGTCAGCGTGAGCAGACCGCACGTGAAGCGCGCGCACCGACAGGAAACCCGCCCGGCGGGTCACCTCCCTGCCGCTGCCCCGGGGCGGGGGTCCTCACCGCACAGCCTCCATCTGGTCCTTCTCCTCCAGGGAGCCCAGCCTCCGCCCCACTTCGTGCAGCAGCTTGGTGCCTTGGAAGCCACTGCCGCGGCCGTCGCACTTCACCACCACGGCTCCGTGGCTGCTCACCAGCACCGTCTCCCAGGTCACCTCGAACTTCTCGGCCACGCTCTGGCTCCCTGGGGTGCCGTCCCTGCAAAAGAGCCCCTGGCCTCGGCACTCTGCGCGCTGCGTGCGGCCGGCCTGACCGACGCCGGGTCCCGACGACGCCCAGGCTGCCGGCCGAGCCTTGCCCCGGGCGCAGCACTTAGGCCGTGGAACCGGGCCAGGGCTGCAGACCGGCCGCCCGAGACGGAGACGGGCGCGGGTGAGGCTCCCGAGGCCTCTCTCCCTCTGGCGGGGCCAGGATGAGCAGGGGAGGCCAGCCCCTCTCCAGCAACAGCAACAGACGGCCAGGCCCCATTCCGAGAGCCAGCCAGCTGAAGATGCACGGGTCCTTCCTCAAGGAGGTGACAGTTACCACTGCCACCGCCATCCTGGCTTTCTGCCAGGGACCGAGGGCACGTGGGCAAGGAGTGTGTGTGTACGTGAGATGTGTGTGAGGAGTGCGTATGCAGGGGTGTGTTTGTGTGAGGCATGTGTGTGTAAGAGAAGTGTGTGAGAAGTGCGTATGCAGGGGTGTGTGTATGTGTAAGCAGTGTGGGTGAGGGGTGTGTGTGAGAGGCATGTGAGTGATGGGTATGTGAGGTGTGGGTGAGGGATGTATTTGTGAGGGGTGTGTGAGGTGTATGTGTGTGAGGGGTATGAGGAGTGTGTGTGGGTGTGAGGGGTGTGTGACTTATGTGTGCAAGGGGTGTGAGTGGTGTCTGTGAGTGTATGAGGGGTGTGTGTGTGAGGTGTGGGTGAGGGATGTATATGTGAGGGGTGTGAGGAGTATGTGAGGTATGTGTGCAAGGGGAGGGGTGTGTGAGGGGTGTCTGTGTGTGAGGGGTGTGTGAGGTATGTGAGGGGGTGTGTATGAGTGTGTGTGGGGAGTGTGTGTGAGGGTGTGAGGTGTGTGAGGGGTGTGTATGAGTGTGTGAGGGTGTGTGTGAGGGGTGTGTGTGGGGGGGTGTGTGTGAGTGTGTGAGGCACGTGTATGGTTGTTGGCAAAGTGCTAAGCCTGTCCAGATAGCGAGGAAAGTGGGTTAATTGCCAAACGGAATCCGCTGTTGGGACCTAAGCCAGGGGCAGCTCTGTAACGAAGCCCTTCCATTGCTGGGGACTAAGCGCCCAGGACGGGAGCCGGGCGACAGGGGCAGGGCTAATCAGGTCATTTGATATTGACTCAGGCGGGTGGTTTCACTGGCGTTCCTAAAACAACTCAAGCACAGGCCGCTGCTCTATCCGGACCTCTTTCAAGTAAACATGAGGGGAGGCTCCCTGAGAGGCAATGAGAGAGCTCAGAATTTTCCTCATGTTCCACGGCCTTGAACGAACACACGTGGAGGTGAAGAGAGTATGTGTTAAATCTCTGGGTGGTGTCTGCCTTTAAAAACACTTCCGTGCGCCCGGTGTGCCCGCGTTAACCCTCCACGCCGGCCTCCGCCTCTCGAGGGACCTGTGCTCTGGGCGGGCCGCCTGCCTTCCCAGATCAGCTTTCCTGTCCGTTGCCGAGCCTGTTCACCAGCCACGGCAGCGCCACCCACCCAGTAGGACCTGCCTCAGGTCTGGGGGCACAAGCAGACCGGGGCGGGTACGGCCCACTTCCTTGCCCGGCGGCCTCACCGACTGTTACGAGCAGAGCCTGCCACCTGCTGGCAGCCTAACCTGTCTTCGGTTCTAGTTTGCAACCTCCTTTCTCACGCTTGTCTTTTTCTTGAGTTCAGTGCTCTCCATGGTGTCACCGAGTCCCCAGGCAAGCACCCCGAGAAAGAAAGAGGCAACAATACTCACACCACCAGGAGCAAGGGGTAGTGGGCCGTGTCGGTGAAGGTTGCTGGCTTGAGGATCTGAACGGGCAAGTCTAGGCAGAAACAGACACAGGGCAGCACGTTAGGGGGCAACCTGGACCAGGAAGGAAGGCCACGGAGTCCCAGCGGTCCGGAGCGCTCCTGGAGGCATGGGAGAAGGACACTCTGGAGGGGGCTCCGTGGGTCCCCCCCACAGCCCCGGGGCTGGCCGGGATTTTTGTCTTAGTGACTCTGGCCAGCTGAGTGACCTTAGGGAAATCACCCAACCATCTCAAGGCTGAGTTTCTCCATCTGAAGCTTAAATTCAATCTTGCAAACAGTGTGTTGAAAACCAGAAAAGCCTGGAAGGCCATAAATACTTGTTAACAGCCGAATTCCAGGCTGGGAGAAATGAGACCCCAAGGGTGGCATGTGTCTCTGCCAACAGTGTTGCCGCAACACACAGTTAGGTGGGGACAGACCTCGGGGAGCCGCGGGGAGCCGCGGGGATGGGATGAGACCGGGGCGCGGGCGGCAGCCCAGAGGGAGAGGCTGAGAGCCGGGAGCCTCCGGGCACAGCCAGGGGCTCTGCCGGCCTCGCGGTGTGCAGGTTGGTGCCGGCCAATGGGACAGCGGGAGGGGAGGGGGCTGAGGCACCAGCTCCTTCTGGTCTTGTCCTGGGCAGCAGGGACCCGGTGTGGGAGGCAGGGGGCTCCCACACCAGCTTCTTCTGTCCCCCTCCCCCCAAACAAACCTTCCTGCCCAAGTTAGAAATGGTTTATTGACGGTAACTACAACCCAGATTAGCAATTAAATTGGAATTAGCAGCTTTTTCAGTACAATTACTACAGATACATCCCAGGCCGGGGTGGTTGGCTCAGCAGCCGGCTCTGACCAGGCTCTCATTACTGATTCTGGTTGAATGTTAATGGCTTGCAAATTGGATCAATGGCCCAGGGACTGGCAGAAAGGAAGGCGTCGGACTTTATCATTGCAATATCCATAAAACATGGTCTGGGCTGCTCTGTGCTGCTGAGAAGCCCACGGGCAGATCTCGGCCACGACTGGCTGCATCCAGGGCCGGGAGCCCTTCCTGAAGACGGATTGCTTCCCGAAGGAAAGCCTGAGCCTCTGGGGACATTAAATGAAAAAAGCAAAACATAACAAGACGGGTGGGTAAGAACACATCTTGCAGATTTTTTGTGGCCCCAAAGGGGTGACATTCGGCTGCTAGTCCTCGCACACACCTGCTTTCCTAGCACCTGCATTCCCACCCACCTACCAAGGAAACCTCACACGGGAAGGAAACCTCATGCGGCAAGGGTGGGAGAGTTGATTATTTGTTTCTAAAGGTCTTTGCACTTTTGGAGGAGGGGATGGTGTTAGGATTTGGGAAACTATTGCGACAGAGTGTGGACTGGCTTGAAGGAGGAGGGCACTGGGCCCAGGAGATGAGAAAGAATCTTGTAAAGAAAATGATCTGGCCTCATCGGCTGTGGTAGGAAGCAACGGACGTGGGAAAATGTGAGGGAGCTTCCCGGAAAACATGCTGCCAGGAATGGGGGTGGGGCAGGAAGTTGAAGTCTGACCACAGAGGGCCACCAGCCTGACGCACACCTGTGACCTGTGCAAGGGCCCTATGCTGGGCGGTCGTAATGAGCCATGAACGAAGAGCCCCAAGTGTTCACGTTGCACTGGGCCCTGCAAATTTCGGAACCTGTCTTGAGGTCTGTAGCTAGAGCTGGAAGGTAGAGGGGGTCGGGAAAATGTGTGGAAACTGCTTGCTTGTTTATTCAGCCGTCCTACCATCCTTCTATCCTTCCCTCCTTCCATCCATCATCTGTCCACTATCAATTTAAAATCATCTTGCTTTCTTGCCTTTTGGTTCTTCCTTAAAGAAGAAAATGGCACAAATATGCAGTTCCTTTAAGGGTTCTCATGCATTTGAGTCTGTTCTGAGTAACTGGACGCCAGGGTCTGTGTGGAGGACTGTACCTAGTCCAGCAGGCTATCTGTGTGGGCCGGCCAGATTTTCCTCTGACCTAGTTCTCTGAACTGCTCTCTATATGGGGGTACCCCGAACTGCCCAGCATGGCTCTCTTCATGGAGCAACAGGGATGGGGGTGGGATTTAAGACAAACAAGCGGTGACTCGGGTGAATCCATCAGGAGCTGTCGTCACCCCCCAATAAGAGTTAGCTCAAGAGGGGAAACCTATTTGACAACCTCAGAGGTGACGGGGGGAAGGACCTGAAGGTTGGAGCCTGCATTCTTTAAGAGAAGGGTGCCATCCCCCAAAGTACGGAAGTCTGGACGGGTACAGAGCTCTGGGGGAAAGACAGTGAGACGTATTTGGGGCTTTTGCACATGGAGTTTCCAAGGGTAAACATCTGGCGGGCCGTGAGGACACACCAGGTGGGCTGGGTTGACTGGGGAGCTATCTGCAGAGGGGGGATTGAGGCTAGGAGGACTCTGCTTCCCTCCTGGAGATGGGAGTCCATTGTAGCCAGTGCTCTGGGATCCAGCACAGCAACAGCGCTCATGAAAGCTCACTGGACGAGAGAATGGACAGCTCAAGACAAAGAGGGGCACAAAGACAGGCAGAGTGCTGGGTGCGTCTCAGGTCATGTCAGCACGCAATCCTTCACTGTATTATCTCTCTAGTTTCAAGGACGCCTCCTCAGCCCATAATCAGCACCGAGAGCTTAGACGATGAAGGAGGAAAATATCAGATGGAACAGAACAGAAATTTCCAGAGGGGGGATGTTTCCTCTGGATGGTGTCATGACATGTTCCCCCCAAAGGAGAGAATTTTGGTCTGGGACCTTATTTAACTGTCAGCCTCTTGAGGAGAGAAATCCATGCTCCACCTTTTTTTGGTCTATTGCCAGAGGAGTATCTTGGTTCTGAGCACAACAGGCTCAGTGCAGGATGCTTTCCCCCATGAGCTCCGCCCGAATCTCCCCTTTGCAGGTTGGATGCATTTCCAGCCATGAGGCTGGGGAGTGGGGTGCTGGTGGGGAGCCTCAGGGCACAGCAATCCCTGCTGGCGGCCGGGCTGTCTGTTCCAGGGGGACAATGCAGCACTTACTGTAATCGTCAACCTCGATCTTCCTGTATTCTACTTTAGGCATCTGTCGGTCATGTACGGCCTTCTGTACATGCTCGTTTGTTTCTAGATCAAACATTTCTAAGAGAGAGAAAGACAAATGACACATTCAGCCTCAGCGATCACTTACTGAAGCCGCTGGCTTTCATGTGGGTCAGACTGCTAATTCCTACGTCAGGCCCAGAGGTGATGATTGTTATTTCTTGTGCACAAACCAGGAAACTGAGACAAGGTGGAACGCCCCATCTCAAGTCAGGAGCTTGGGCAATGGAGGGTTCTTTTCATCGTATTAGGTAACCCCTCTACCCATAGGTTGTCCTTCCCCATGGCATTTCTCACCCACATGTATAGGCCTGGGTATTTTTTTTTTTAAAGATTTTATTTATTTATTTGACAGAGAGAGAGCGCACCCAAGCAGGGGGAGGGGCAGAGGGGGAGGGAGAAGGAAAAGCAGGCTCCCCGCTGAGAATGGAGCCTGACATGGTGCTTGATCCTAGGAACCCAGGATCATGACCTGAGCTGAAGGCAGACAGTTAACTGACTGAGCCATCCAGATGTCCCGGTCCAGGTTTGTTTTATCCACAAACTGCTGGTTTCAGAAAACCAACATCACCTATCTGTTAGGACAGATGATTTTCCAAATATAGTGGCCACAATAACCAAAGAAAAAAAGGAGAGTAGAGCCTGGAGTGTGCTCTTTACTAAAATTTTATAGGAAAAATGGATTCGGATCTTTTACCCTACTCATAATGTGATCTGGCTTAGGACACCTTAATTAGGATGATCATATTAGCTGGCCCTAAAGCCACGTGGGCCACAGGATACAGCGCGGTGGGACCGGCCCTTTTCCCTCCAAATTAGAGAGGCAGGTCAATCTTGCACTGGCCCCTCACTTGCACATGTGCCCAGTGGGTGTTTCCCCAGGTGCACGGATGCCCCTCATCAGCCCACTTCACTGATTTCCTGCGGCAAAGGCAGTTCCTCCGCCTTCACCATCTGCTCTATAATAAAAACCACCCGACTTCCTTCTTCCTTTCTCACTTTGAGCCCACACGTGGGGACACCTTGTGGCCCATTACGAAAGGAAATTTTGTCTTCAAGGAGCTCCACTTTTCGCTCCTCAAATAGCTTTGAAACATTCATGAATATTTCATCGAATAAACTCACAACGCAAGCAGAGCTACAAGGAACGGGGAACCATCCCCATAACAACTCCCTTTAAGAAAAACAGACCCCAAATGACTCCACAACGGCACCTGGAGGCCAAATATGGCCCAGAACCAGGAGTCTCCGGCACTGAGTGGTTTTATCTGTGAAGGGCACGCGGCCACCAGTGGTGCTCAGGGATCCGAGGGACTGTCCACGAGCAGGGCCGGCAAACTCCCACGGCCGCCCATGGACAGGGACAGTTCCAGAACTGTGATGAGCAAACAGACAAAACCAAAAATGTTTTACAAGTTGCTGGACACATTTGAAAATTGAGCTTTGATGAAAAGGTCGGGGTGGGGGCATGGTAACGCTCATTTTCAATAGGGAGAGTTAAAAACAAAAAAACCTTAAGCTGGACCACCACCACCGAAGATTCTGACCACCACGTGGCAGGCAAGAAATGGTGTCCTTTGTGGACAGTGGGACAGGACACTGCATCTGCAAGGGATGCACACAGAGGTCCAGGGAGATGACCTCAACTCTGAGACCCGGAGATGTGGCCGAGAGATGGCACACTCTACCTTGGGGTCATGCACACAAGTTGGGGCAGGGTGGTGGGTGTGCCCCACGGCCTGCCCCACATCCCCACCCGGACTCCTCAGAGAGCCCACACAGCGCTCATTTTTGCTGAGTCTAAATATCCTCATCCCAGGCTGCCCAGGTGGCTGTCGGTCGAGCATCCAACTCTTGACTTTGGCTCAGGTCATGATCTCAAGGTCATGAGATCGATCCCCACATCCAGCTCTGTGCTAGGTGTGGAGTCTGCTTAAGAGTCTCTCTCTCCCTCTCCCTGAGCCTCCCACCCTGCTCTCTCTTTCTCTAAAATAATAAATAAATCTTAAAAAAAAATAAGTGTACTCAGCCCTTTAACAGTGTTGTGGGCATACACGGTCAGGAGTTGGTTTGTGAGATAGAAATTATTTCTTATTTGTGTTCTTGTCACAATGGTATGGCAGGAAGTCTAGAAGGCAGCTCTGCAGAATAAGGAGGAAAACAGCATTTTTCTAATTCTTTACTGCCACAGGACCTTGACACTCACTGTTCCCCATGACGGGAACTTTCTTTGCTGGCGCCTTCTCCAACAGGTCAAACATCACATCTGCAAGTAGAAGCCCCTCTGGGAAACCCCTCTTAACACCAACTGTAAGAGCTGTGGTCATTTGCCTGACTGCCTTTCCCTGCCCTCCAGCTCCCAAGGCATCAGCACTCGGTCCCATCCCAGAGACAAACCATATGAGTTTCCAGTCACCTGAGTACATGTGGAAATCCAATCCATACTCCAGAAATGACGCATCTACACTGGAGCTGAGCCTGGGTTTCCACCCCAGTCTTTCTCCCAGTTCCCACTGGACAGGAAGCTGGGAGGGACTGGGGGTCCTCCCAGGTGCTTCAGAAGCCTGGGGGCTCTCAGGGGTTCCCAGTGTTTCAGACCTCTTGAGTAGTAAGAGTTGATGCAATCCAAGCCTCCCAACCACTGCTCCCCACATAAAACCATACACAACAGGACCAAAGCACACTTCCATTACACTGATGGGAAAGCTTACAGTACTTGAAGGACTCGTGACAAATGCAAGTTAATACTGAATTAATGCCCAGATCAGGATGCAATTCATGGTCTCTGCCCAGACGTGTGCTCACTGTGGGACCCAGTGCTCAGATCTTCTGGGGTCATCAGGGAGCCCGCCATCCTCCCCTCCCTGTGTGCCCACGCAGTGAGCCCAGGTGGAGACCGGTAAGGGACCAGGCAGTGTGCACATGTGGGTCATGCTGGATGAGGGGAATTAGCAGGCACTAAGGGGAACAAAGGTCTCCCATTGCTACCAAAACGCAGCACCACGCTCCTGGGGTGCCGGCGACAGTCTACCCTGGGGAAGTCTGCTGGTGGCAAGGCCAGCCTGGACCACCAGCTTTCAAAATGAAAGAGAGCCAACAGAGCGTCTCACAGGTTATCACCCTACGCTCCTCTCTCCGTGTGTATGCGTTTGGATCCGGTACTTCTGACATCACTCAGCAATCTCTAATGCTGATCCTGAAAGAGAAATTTCCCACGTAGGTTGCAGCGTTGCTTTGCTGCCCACCGAGTTCAGCTTGCCTGGAGTCACTGAGCACACACGCTCGCTCCCCGGAACAGCCCTCCCACTCCCGGACCCCGGAGCTCCGGCTTCGAGAGGGAGCACACAATATCCTAACAGACCCTACAGACTGCGTTTGAATAGCTCGCCTCAGTACCGAAATCCCACCCTTCACAGAGGCACCAAAGCAACAGACTATTAAATTTAGTTAAATATTAGATTTCCCATTTAATGATTGCCCACACAACTGGTTTTATCAGCAGAGAGCTGGCTGGCCCACAGGGGAGTTGAGTTAAGCCATTTTATTTGTTCCCATAATTGCATTCAAAGGAGGCAGGAGCTCAGCAGAGGAAATAAGAGAAGATTGGCACGTTCCCGAAGGACTCTTCTTTTGACTTCATGGCCACGGGGACCTCCAGTCTGGAGCATACAAATGGCCACTCCTTAATTAAATGTGAGCCCGCTCTAATGTTTGGTGGAATTAGCTATTATCAGATCTGGACACAGTGAGACTGCAGGAAGCATTTGCTCGGGGGGCTGCCTCCCTGGCTGTGCCCCAGCGGGCCAACGCGCCCTGCTGGGTCACGGCATTGCTGGAAGCCCCACTTGGCTGCACTCGGGGAAATGCGACCGGAATCTAACAGAAGCCGACGGGCCACTGACCTAAAGAGGACAAGAGCCACCGGCCGCCCTTCTTAGGTTTTTCCGCGGGAAGCAGAGTGCAGGAGTGCATGTGCACAGAGATCACGTCCTGTTGTGTGGTCTCCTCGCCCCGCCTGCGCGTCCGCGCCTCTCATGGTCCAGGCCCCTCCCGGCATGCTGCCCATTGCTTCCTCCTGTGCACCTGTCTCCGAGGTGTGGGACCCCCACCCGCCGCCCCAGGGCTGTGTGGCCCCGGCCAGTGCAGGCCGATGCCGGCGCAGACGCGGGATGCCCCGTTGCACCTGCAGAGCTCCTTCCTCTGAACACCGAACGTCTGGTTGTTAGAATCAGTGTCACACAGTTGGGCGGTCATTGTCCTTGTTGCTAGATCTACTTTTGTCTTCAGCAGGATTTTAAGAAACTTGAAGGCAGAGTCCCTATAAGTAAATGGCCCTTTGGCCCCTCACAGCCACTGGCTTCTTGCCAGGCAGGTGAAGGGGTTTGATCAGGAGGGGCCGTGTGTCGACTGGGCTGATGTGGCCCTCTCCCCACAACTAACTACACTGTCATTAGTCTGGGCTGCGTAGTGGCAGGGTGGCAGCGAGCTTCGAGTGAGAGAGGCGGGATGCCAAGGCAGGTACCCTGCCAGCTGGAGTGCACGGCGCTTTGCTCTCTCTGGGAACCACATGCATGCGCACGGTCTACCAGGATCTGCAGACCGGATCACTCCATCCCTCCACAGAGGCCGCCTGTGTGTGGAGCCGTGGGGATCCAGAAGACTTTCCAGATACACAAACAACTGAGGGTTTGATGGAACAGGTCACTCCATGCTTGGGGACGTCTCCTGGACTCTCTGACTACCACCTCCCCTCTGACCCGCATGCACGGTCGATGGAAGAGGCGGGGGTCCATGGGCGGGGGCGGCTCCAGGCAGCAGGACCCTGTGAGCAAAGGCCCGGGCGCCAAGCAGCTCACGTCTCAAGAAAGGATTGCCTTGATGTCAACTGCCGTGAGTTGGTTTTGCATCTTTATAAAAGCCCATGTGAGGACAACGGAATCCCGTCCTCGAGTGTTGGTAAGAGAGTGGGCCCGGGCTGCCCGGGAGCTTGGGGTTCCCGAGTACACAGTCAGGATTATGCTGTGGGGTGCTGCCTGCCT